AATGTGATTGTCAACGGTTTATGGGCTGGTCCGGCCCAGTTCCGTGACCAGCAGGGCGGAGGGATCTGCGGATCCGCGCCTCTGGGAAAGGGGAAGCAGGGGACCCCAAAATACTTGAAAACAACAGCACTGATCTGAGGTGGAACAAATGATTTTACTAAATATAGTATTAGTAAAATACAATGAGAGAGAGAGAGAGAGAGAGAGTCTGTTTGAATTGTATAGACCTCACCACAATGCTGGGGTGAGAAGTGCAGTCCAGTTGAGTGACTGAAGTACAGACGGCAAAGTGCAGATGGCGAAGCGCAGATAGCGAAGCGCAGACAGCGAAGAGCAGGCGAAGAAGAAGGATCAGGTGACCTTGCTTGGAGTTATATCCCCTTGCTGACCGCAAAGTCTCCTGGGGAAATGTAGTTCTTCTCCGACGGACAAACATTCGGCAGATATCAAACCCCACCCCCAATGCATTACATGATGTTATGGTGTGGAATACTGATGACCAAAAAAATCATAAAACCATGACAGTGATTTTGTGATTATGTGACCTGCCCACCTCATTTTAATAGCGCTTGTACTTCACTCCTTTTGACCTTTAAGTGTTACTTGCTGTAAAACCAGCGTGTAGTCAGAAAAAAAGTTGTAAACCATGTCAAAACTTGTTGGAATTCAAGGTAAAGCATTGCAAGTGTCAAGAAAGAACAAGTTCACACTGATTTATATAAACACTTTATTCAAATGCTTTGAATACAGATAAACATTCCTTGTGCAGTATTTGTTATGGTTTCACCTGCTTTAAGCTGGAAACTGAAAGTGTTTTGCTAAATGGGACAGAAAAGTGTCTTGGGCTGATCTAGAGCTGCAAGTGCTTCCTGATGTTGTGCTAAAGTACTCATATCTTCCAGCAGCAGTGCTTTTCAGTAATTAAAAAAAAAACATTTTTTTTCCCTGCAGAGCAGGAACCATTACCTCATACTGCACTTACAGAGACTGGCTGTGCATGATGCCTGATGGCATTTCCTTGAAAATAAAGTATATGATTTGATGACATTCTTTCACTGCCGTGTATGTAAGTCTTAGTTAAAATGTTTCAGAAGTCTTCTAACATTACACAGTTGACACAAGAAGAAAGCCTGTATCCTCTGAGCACTGAATGTAGGCATTGGATGTTTTGTTGCGTGCGTTTAAGGCAGACAAAGTTAGAATGTCTTTACGTTTCATGTTAAGGTGCTACTTGGAGTAACTTCTGAGAAAGATAAGAGGACATCTCACCAGAGTGAAACTAGATTCACTGTGCTGAGCTTCCACCTGCTGAGTAGAAGTACTACCACCGTCTTGCTGCCTTGATGCCAACAGGTTTTGAGTATGTATCAGTTACAGGCAATGCGTTAAGACTGTGAGGTTAACCACTAGGAAATGCACACAGGGCAACAAAACCTAAAAGCGTCTATCTTAAAACTGCAGAATTGTGTAACATAATTGTTTCCTAATCATAAGCATGAGAAAGTGCCACAGATTGTAGTATAAATTTCCCTTCACAGCTTCTTAAGCTTTTCCTGAACTAGTAATTTAATTCTTAATTACAATTTTCTCTGTTTAGCTTCCCCATTGTTTTTTTTTAGGGGGTGAGGCACTAGGGTGTTTTTTGAGGGGGTGTTGGCACTAGGAAAATGGAGGAATATTAGAGCAGTCATTGCCTGTTAGACAGAGATCAGGGACTTTTGAGATGCTGACAGAGCTGGTTACATAGAGAGGCTCAGATGCTGCATAATTTTGTGGTTTATATGCTGTACATGGCAGAAGAGGTAGCTGGAGACAGGTCTACATCCATTGGATGGCACATAGCTTCCCTGGTGCTGCAGTGATAATAGCCACAATCTCGATGTTAGCTGGAGAATCTGCATCTGTGTGTCTGCAGTGTCCTTTATCTTTGCAATTCAGTGTGATTTAGGCATGAGTTAAAAAGACTGAAACATTTCTGGGAATGTGCAGGAAACATAAGTGAAGAAAACTTAAGTGCTTTTGAACTTCAGAAATATATGTTGTCACTTACTCTTGATTTTTTCTGAATTTCACTTCAGTCTTTTTTTGATCTTGAATTCATATTCTTGGCTTAAGCTTGTGCAGTCAGGACTAAAGCACCTGATTCTTTTATTTTTATTCTTTTTTTGTTAGGAGGACAGCCTTATCATAAATGTCTCTCTAGATTTGAACAGGCTCTATGATGTACAGAAATCCTTACCTGCACATGCACAGCAGATTTTATTAGACTTGCTGAGTTTAGCAACAGATTAAATTTGCACTTTTGATGTCCCTTATCTAGCTCCTTGCAATGGCTCAGCCAATGCTTACTGACTTTTATGTATTGACACCTTCATTAACCATAGAAATGATATCTTTGCCTAGATAAATGCACCACACTCCTTGTGTATGGTTACTGTACCTATACAACCACTACCCAAATCACCAGATTTGCTCAGGCCATGAATATAATAAGGAATGATAAGGAAGTCTTATTCTTAAAGAATAAGAACATTCGAGTGCTATTTGTTGAATTGGACAATGGCCACATGGCTCCATAAAGTCTGTGCAGAAATAAAATCCTTCCAGTGTTGGTGAAGTGCTTGAAGCTTTTGCCATAGATTTAAAAATCACAGATCCAGCCATTGCTGACATTCGCTTAAGGAAAGATTGTCATTCAGTTCTCATTAAAATTTCACATTAAAAAATTATGGTCGGTGCAAAGGGTAGATATGAATAAGGACAGATTGTGTAGTAAAAGGAGCTCTGACAAGGTTTTGTCTTTATGACACTGATTGACATCAGTCAAGGCACTTAAAAGAGTCTTCAGGAATGGGAATTCATTGTCCCTGGGGGCTTGATAGTACTCAGAGAATCTGAAAAAATACAGTTGAATTTTTTAAAGTATGGCCATCACCAGCACTTCCAATGAACTTAATAAAAAGGAGGACTTTCTGTGTGGAAGACAATCAAAGTTATCAAAGCATCCATAAAGTAAGGCTCTGACCCCTTGTCAGCAGATGGATTTGTTGTAGTCACAGATGAGATTCTACACTTAAAAATGATTTATATTTTGTGCCTAAAAGAATTCAACTACTGACTTTTTAGTCTGGCTTGGAAAAAATACTTCTAAACGTATGCACACGTTGCATTGAGCACTTATAGAAAGTTAGCAGAGACTCTACTCATTTCATTTCTTCTGTTACATCATGGCTTAGCACCGCTCAGGTCAGCAGTTCCACTACCTCAGAACAAAACATGGCTGATTACTGTGGGTACTGTAGCATGCTTAGAACTGGAATACAAATAAAAATAGTTGCTTAAGATAATATGCCTGTAGCACAGGATACTGTGGAATTGGAAGCTGATAAACCAGTAGTAGTATCATTATTACATTAAGAAATGATTTGAAATGCGTTTAGTTTCACACCGTAGTAAGTACAGACAAAGCCACCACAAACATAGTAATGAAACAGACCATTTATTTTAGCCTGATTTTCTGCCAGTTTGTGGACATTCTGTCTCAGAAGTGTTTGTGATGACTGTACCAATGCCATTATTGAGTTACTGGCTAGACTTACTTATGTCTATACATCTCTATTTTCCCAGCTGACAGGGAAGACTAATCAGAGGAAGCTTCAGTTTTCAGATGTCTTCCTGAACAATTTCCTTTCTGAACCTTGCTGTAGCTGAGATTCTCCAAGCAAAGGCAATCTGCAGTTGGCCGTGTCCTTTGGAAAGCTGCGCGTTACTTTCTGGATCATCTCAATGCAGTTTCCTTCCCTTGCTTGCGCTGCGTGAGCTCTTGGCCTTGCTCTGGATGTTTAGATTTTTAATGTATTTCTGATCTGTCGCACTTGGGGGGGGGGGGGGGGGGGGGGGGGGGGGGGGGGGGGGGGGGGGG